TTTTAATTTCTGCTAAAGTTCTGAAGCTCACATATATACTTTAAATAATTTTAACTTTGCAAGTCATTTTATATAATTCTCCTAAATATTATACAATGTTACAGTATTTATAATAATCTATTTGCAAACGTTCAATATTCTCGAACATTTTGTTACGGTATGGGAAGTTCCAGCAATTTGCCTTAAGGCACAATGCTATGCACCACTAGTTTTGTTTTTTCATTTATAAGAAAAATATTCATGATCTGTAAACAGTACTCGTTTGGCAACAAATACTTAGCTCATTATTTGTTCACTTAATTTGTTCATTATCAAAGTTTGATAACAAAATTAATACAAGGTGCACAAATTGCATTCCTATACGCAATTTAATTTGCGTTCTGTTTGATAAATATTTAAAATTATACTTGTTTTAATCATGTACCAACATTCTTGCAATATTTTTCGAGTGAGAAAATAGTGCTAATATAAATTATGACGTATTGCTTGAAATTTTATTAGTAATAACATCAACAGTTGAATTAGTCTTGTTGCAAATTATGATGCATTATTTAAACTACTATTGGTAATAATATAAACATTTAAAATTGCAACAATTGTGAAAATTTTTCTCCGATCAAAGTAATATTTTTTAAGACAATGTGCTGGTTTTCAACGTTTGTTTGCAGTTTTCTGATTTTTTTCTTAAAATTTTTATCAGGGTAGAATTTATCAGGTTGAACAGGTTACATAATATTCTAAATGATATCAGTGGTAAAATAAATAATAATAAAGTTTACCGTAGCCTGGAAAATAAAAAAAAAATCCCCATGAGGCACGCGAGCTTACCGATGTTTTGTTTGCAGTTCTAATAGGGGCACTGGTGGAAAATAATGAGTTAATAAAATATGAAATATGATTTTTTAACTTTCATTTTATTTTATTAATTACATGGTCTAAACATGATATGTAGTAATTTTAACTTTCCGTAGGGTAGTTATAGTAATGGGCTGGAAATCGAAAATGAAAATTTTTGCATTTCTCGACGTTTTGAAAGTTTCTGAACGAAGTGTGGCTTTGAATGATCTAAAAAACATTCAATTTGTAATGATTGGGGGAAGAGGTGTTTAGTTTGTGGCAAAGACAGGTCCCGCCATTTCGAAGCTAAATGTGCAAAAAATGGCAGTTTTTGAGTGAACGAAGCTCCGATTTGAATGATCTAAAAAACTTTCTGCTTGTATTGACAAAACAATTGCTTTTGAGGATAAAAAATTATTACATCTTTTTTAATTTTGGATTGAAAATTAAAAAAATTGCCCAAGGCTAAGCACAGTCTAAGCACCACTCTGGTACAAATGTTTACCCAAGTGCGTTTAGACTGAGGAGCACTTTTCCAATTTTGTGAAAAATGTGAAAATGCCGCCAAGCTAAGCACAGTATAAGTGAAAATGTTGCACAGAATTAGTTGCAAATGCTTGTTTAGACTGTGACTATACGGGAGCACATTTTCAATTTTGTGTAAATTAGGCAACTATTTTTTTGAAATTGAATTTGAAATGAAATGACGATTGTTAATGTTATGGAGATAAATTGATTTATGATTTACATTTGATTTGCTCAGATATAACAAGATAGCAAAAATAATGAAAGTTACAGTATTTGTAATAATATATTTGAAAACGTTTAAAATTTCTCGAATGTTTTATCACGGTACGGAAATTCCAGCAATGTGCCTTAAGGCACGATACACCACTAGTTATGGATTATTTCAGTAAAAAATATCTGTTAGGATGCCTAATGGTGGTCCCAATATTATTAATCAACAGTGATATTATTTTTTATTTGAAAATATGTATCGAAATATCTTCTCTAGTTACTCCAGTCAATGAAATTGGGTTCATCTTAGGAACTTAGATCAATAGAAAATAAACGTTGATATGCTTGTGGCCATTCAACATTAAAATAATATTTATTATTAACATGAGAACAATATTTAATAGTCAATTATAAAAAATGCAGCATAAATATACATTTTTAAATTTGAGGACAATATTTATTAGCCTATGATAAAAAACGTTGCATCAAAAATTTATATTTCAATTTGGAGGCAATATTTATTAGCCGATGTTAAAACAATGCTGTATCAATGTTTTGTTTTTTATTTGGGGACAATATTTATATTTAAATTTGAGGACATTATTGGACAAGAACATTTATAAACAATATTCCCTCAATATCGATTAAAGTGGGTCCGATTGATTAGTTGACATCATCACAGAACCGACGTTTGTCTATACTTGTGCAATATAGGTAATCAGACCACACAAATCCAATGTTGGCAGTTGATAATTTTGTCTAAATCTCAATTTCGGATGATGAAGTCAATTACCACACCTCCCGGAAAGTTTTTGCATCTTGTCTTAAGGCAAAATGCCACTTGCAACTAGTTTCTCTGTTTCTGTCGATTCTTGATAATTTATTTTCTACCAGATCTCTGTCTATGTTTCAACAAGAGTAAATTTGATAATTCTAATAAATCATAAACAACACCCATGCGGTGTACATATGTGTCGCCTTTAGACGACCGTGGAGCAGAGTCATAGTTGACGCAGCTTCATTTGTACGCGGACGCCGGTGGCGCGAACATTTGTTAATCAAATTAAATTTAAATTTGTGCTCGTTTAAAAAAGATTTAAACAACAAATAATAGTGTTTGGAGAACTAACTGTTCTTGTGTGAATGATAAAAAAAACTTGGATTTGTGCTGGAAAAATTTTTGCAGCTTTGGCAAGCGCTGGTGAAGAAGTAGAGTCAACTTGATTTAGAAAAAACTTTTTTGTAAAGTTAGACAAAATTAACTAATGATAAACTTTTAATTAAATATTAAGTATATAATAAATTTCTGGATGGTTTGAACAAAATGATTAATAATGTAAGTACATATTAGGCATTATTTATTATTTTGTATTAAAATGTAGGATCAAAATTTTTAGACTATATACTAGGGTTTGTAGGTTTTTAGTAGAAATATATGGTATTTGAGAACTGATTTATTATAAGGAAATGCCGGCGTTTAATTTTCAAAAAATATATAAAACTAGTGGTGGATGGCATTGTGCCTTAATAAAAATTTCTGGAACTTTCCGTACCAAATATTAAAATATTTTAAAAAAAGCTTTAATTTTGTTTGAATTCTTGTCAAAATTGCTTTTTCTTTAGTAGATTTTTTATGCGATTTAGTAGAACATAAAAATAATAATTGACTAGTATGAAATGACTGAAAACAATTAATTATTCGTTGATGCATAATTTTCACATATAAGGGTGTAAATATTTTTAAAATAGTGAAATGAAGGAAGACTATCATTTGCGATAGAGTTTTCATCAATATATTTGCCATTTTCATTATAAACTTTCTTTTGGGTTAGTTATAAAAATTGCAAAAAAACTAAAATGAAAATCTTCATATACATTCACGTTTCAAAACCTTCTAAACATTTTGGCATACCTTAAAAAAAATTGATATATGCGTGTGTATGTGTGTGTGTGGATACAAATTTCGAACGACGATTTCGGGAACACTTAGGGATCAATCGATTTGCATTCTATTTGTTTTAATGGGTAGACGTGCTGATTAGTTTTTGGCAAAGGTAGGTCCAGCCGTTTCGGAAATTAGAGGCAAAAAGTGCCAAAAATGCTAATTCAGCTTTTGAGAGAACGGAGTGTCTGATTTCAATGATTCAAAAAACATTTTATTTATATTGACAAAACGAAGAACTGAGTAATTTTTTTATCGCTTTAAAAAAAGTTCAATAGTTTCAAAAAATTGGAAATATTGAAAAAATCAAATTTTCACGGAAAAAATGATTTTTTTTCAATTCTTAAGAATTTAATTTTCCAAAGTTTTCAATAAAAGAATTAAAGTTTATTTTAAAAAAATAATTTTTGGTATAGGAAGTTTCAACAATTTGTCTTGACCTTGCACCACTAGTTACTTTTTTAAATTTATCTTCATTTCAGATGATTTTCTTTAAAATTTATCATTCGTGATTAAAAACTAGATAGAACTCTTCAAAAGTTTTGAAACGAACGAAAAACCTAAAAATTTGCAAGAAACATTAGATAAAATTTAAAAAATTAAAAAAAAGCTTTTAGACAAAATTTTAAAAATAATAACGAACGTTTAAAATTAAATGATTGTAACTTCTATTTGTAAAATATTTTAATGCACAATTAGATGCAACATTTTACATATATTTAAGAGATTATCGGAGTTATATATAATTATAAACATACTCAATTAAGAAATATTATCTGAGCATTATTTATCAGTAAATATGTAAATTAGTAGGTAATTCACTAAATGCAAATATTGATTACTTCTTTATTGCATCATCTTTGTTATGAATTTTAATTAATTATGAGAAAAATATATGATATAAATAATATATATATTTTTTAGCACATGTAATTTTATAATTTATTAATTTCTTATTTCTTTAGATAAGTTCATTAGTCTTGCATATTTTTTTTAATATTTCAAATCATAATAAAAACTTGTTTGCACTGAAATCAAATTTTTGAGATAAGCTAATATTTTGGAATCTTACAAACGTGCTTCTTATAAAAACAAACACAACTTACTATTATTATTGTTTTATGATATCTGAAATCTTAGAATGTTTGTACAGATTGTTTATATTTAAATATTGCGATAAGGAATAACTCGATTTTACTTGCCAGAACTATTGTTTTATATAATATTTAATAAATTATCAAATTTTCATCACCAATTTGTATCAATCAGAGAAACTCATATTACAAAAAACAAAATACATGTCACGAATTGATATATTTTGTGACTGATGTCATTTGATTATCAACATTCTTCAATATCCCCAACCTTCAAATTATTGATCAATCCAAATTTCATCATGTGACAAATTATTTACTGGCAAAAGAAGTGAAAATTATCATTTATTTAATCTGTAATTAAAAAATTTCTGTTTGTCACATTGCAGGCAGAAGATAAGAAGCCCTAGTCAAACAATATGGACTTGTAAAATAGAAGCAACCAGACAAATATGAGTATTGTTATATTATTGAGTGCAAGTAACATTACCATTGATAATTTCGTCGAAGATATTATCTGAGAAATGCAAGATGGGTCTTCAGGACGTAGTCTCATGGTAATAATGAAATTTTGTAATGTATTTATACTTTTGTCTAACAGCAATTTATTCATACTAATATCAGTAATTTTTCTTCTTGGCATGAAGATAGAAAATCGTTTCCTAAAATTTTCTCTATTTTGTAAAATTTTGTAAAATTTGGTATAGCCTAGGCTATACCAAGAAGAAGCAGCTGCGCTTATTTTGAATATTTATTTTTTGTTTTTTTTGTTTGATTATTTTTCACGTCCCAATTGTTCTCTTACCTCTTTTTTTAGGCATTATATTATCATTACAAAGAGATGCTAGTTAACTACTTTATTTTAATTAGCAAGTTTTAATTTGTGAAACCACATTTTGAGCATATTCGGACGATTTATAGCATTTGCCGACAAGTTACAACATTTTCAGACGAGTTACAAAATTTTCGGATGATTTATAGCATATTCAGACGATTTACGTCCTTTTCAGTCGAGTTACATTTTTGGACGAGTTAAAATACTTACAGATGATTGATGGCATCTTTGCATAAGTTACTTAATTTTCTGACGAGTTACTTATTTATCAGACCAATTACAATATTTTCAGAGGAGTTACAACAATTTCGGATGATTCATAGCATATTCAGACGAGTTACGTCATTTTCAGGCGAGTTACTTGATTTTCGGACAATTTACAACATTTTCAGGCAATATACAACATTTTTAGACGAGTTACAACATTTTTAGAATTACAACATTTTCAGATGATTTACGGCATTTTTACACGCGCTATTTAATTTCCTGACGAGTTTCTTCATTTTCAGACGAGTTACTTAATTTTCTGACAAGTTACTTCATATTCAAACGACTCACAGCCTTTTCAAGTGATATACAAAATTTTTACGTGATTTATAACATTTATAGACAATTTTTAGCATTTTTATACGTTTTACAGAATTTTGATATGATTTACATTTTAAACTAATTTACAGGATTTCAGACAATTTACAGCATTTCCACATGATTTTCGACGTTTTTGGTCGATTTACACTATTTTTAGATGATATACAATAATTTCAAAAAAATTATAGCATTTTAAGACGATTCACAGAATTTAGAAATGATTATCAACAATTTCAGATAATTTACAGCATTTATTTTTTATTACATCAGCCATAATATTTTTATACTGAATATATTAGAATATCGCTGTTTATTATTGAAATAATTTGAAAAAAAGTTACATTTTCTAAGCAGTTGTGAATGCTTTTGAAAAAAAATTCTAGCATTTAAAAAAAAATCCTATACCCAAGCTTTCATTAGCATTAGTTTCATACATTTAAAAAACAAAAAGCTACATTGATAAACAAGAAGTAAAGATATAAAAAATCAAAATCAAGGAATAATTATTTTTAAATAATTCGATAGTGCTTGAAAAATAAAAACCACGTCTCATTTTGTATTTTCTGTAGTACGATTATAAGGACTGATTTTTAATTAGTATCATTCGAAATTATATCGATCTATCTTGTATACCTACTATAAAAGATTTTTAATATAATGTTATGTGGTAGAGCGTATTTAAAAGTCGGAAAAATACCTGATCAACTCAAATTTTATCGAATATCGAATACTTTCTAGATCACTCATTTCATAAAAATTTTCATTACGTTGCGAAATTCTATAGCATTGATAAATTTTTCATCAGATAGTATATTATTCACTTGTAATTGATGATTATTCTTATCTCTAACCACAATGTTCAAATACTTTAAAAAATATCTTATCCATTTCAGAAGTTTTGTGTTATATGGGCAATATACTATAATGTGTTCTATACTTGTGCCAGTCCTTAACTAAACAAATAAACATAATGTAATAGTTTAATTGTGTTGTTTATTTGAGATATTAATTTTAATTTTAATTATTAAAATTTTATTTAGGTACCAAAAAAAGATTGGCACTTACGACAAGCAACAATGGGAGAGGACGGTTGAGCAAAGAATTTTGGATGGAATTACTCATGTGCCAATGAAATCGGCCAGAATCAAAACTGAATTGATTGATGTGGATTTAGTTAGAGGTAAGAAAAATTTATTATTATATAAAAATATTATATATAATTTCGTAAGTTACATTTGTCCAAAACCATCAATAAACACATTTTTGGAATTTATCTGGGGTTAGTGATGCTACAACTGGGGAACCTAAATTAAAAGAAAATGTTTGGCGTTAATAAAAAATATATTTTACCAATTTTTTGTGGATAAATAAATTTAGATACAGCACTAGAAATGCATTTTATTTGAACTTTAATTTAATTTTAGCTATATTGTCCAATATAATAAGCAACACAGTACTACAATAAGTATTTTTAATACTCAAAAGTAAAATGTAAGTACTAAACTTTTCCACACTTAGGAACATTAACGTTTTTACGACGTGCTAAACTTATTTCCACAGCAGAAAAAAATTCTCGTAAAGTTCGCACGACTTTCTATTTTTAAGCCCAAGTAGCTTTTATCGAATTATGGTGTTATGAAAGCTTTATGTAAATCTTGGTTATAAATAGAATAAATTTTCCGGTCAACCATAACTCTTTATATATTTATATACACAGTTTTCTATTTTTAGTTTATTGCGAGTATTTTGAGTAACATTTTATGGTAGAAATTCTAAGTCTTAGTTGAGTTGTTATTGCACTTTATTGCAGAAGTGGGATATAAATAGATGTTTAATAAACATAATTTTTTTTTGCTATATTTGTAGTTAGTAGTTTTTCGTAATTTAGGTTAGAGTTATGGGATTCGATACACACCTCGGACAGCCTGGTGTCAAGCAGCAGTAATATCAGTTTTTGTTTAGAACTATAGGTAGCAAGTGAAAATTGCCCTTATCCGGCATCAATAAAAAATTTTCAGTATTACGAAAAAAATTAAAATATCAATTTATCCATTAGAGATGAGACAATTTGGATTGCCTTTTGCTAAAGCCAATTTCTTCCAACAACTTATAGGTTAAGTTTTTAACCAATTTTTAAAAAAACTTGCAATTAGTGGATATTGTCTTTCATTACAATTTTTGCATTTATTTTCTAGGGTCGTCGTTTCCAAAAGCAAAACCAAAACATGGTCTAGTAACAGTTGCTCGTTTGGCAATTTTGCGACTAATTTTATTACCAATTTATTCCAAATGGTGGGTTCAGCAAACATCGGCCAGAATTTTTGGCTTATTATTGGCTTTGTATGGTCTACAGTGTGTCAACTTGGCCGTTTACACATACCATAATGAGAAAAATATCGAGGATGAACATGAGGTAAAAATTTTACTTGATTGCTTCTGGTTTTGTGGAGTATCTACAATTATGTTTTGTATTTTTTTTTAGAAAGTTACAATTTCGGAGATAATTGTACCAATTGCAATGATGTTGCTTCTAAGTATCATACATACGCAAATAGTTTCTACAAATCCCGGGCCGATAAAATCTCCTCCCAAAAGACTGAGACGTAATACTAGAAAAAGGCGGAAACCATCATTTGCAAGGTAACTGCAATACATGTAATATTAGTAAAGTCAATACAATTGTCTAATGATTATTTTTGTCAGATCTCGGAACCAGTCCGAAAGCAAACTCAGTGATCACCAAGGTTCCACAACTAATCTCAAAAATATAGAAAGCGACAAGTACTTCCAAAGAACCAGAGTCAGAATTACCCAAAGTGATACCAAAGACTCTTCTATCAGACGAAGAGTTGTAGCCTGGGAAAGTCCAGTTCATGTGACTACAACCTTGTCAATTGAGACCAATAAACAGTCTTCCAAAAATAATGAGATGATAGATGCAGATGCTTTAGAATTAAGGAGTTCCGAGGAATTTATTTCTGCAGAAGTTACCGACAGTTTGATCAAGAATGATAGGGAAACTTTGAAGTTGGTCAGTTCTGTTTTGAAACCTGGGACGAGTTCTGGTGCTGCTGGTGGAAATCAAGAATTTGGTAAGATATAATAGGCACATAGGCTAGAAATAGAATTTGGTCTACTCCGGGAAGTTCATAATAATTCTGTTTTTCAGATAATCCGGAGCCGACGACCCCTTTAGACGACGACGGGTTCGAAAGTTTAAACGGTAACGGTTCAAGTGAAAATGGTGAAGACGTATCTCAACGTGGAAACAGTGAAGAACCAAATTTTGAATCTGACCAATCGACACCAGGCAAAAAGTCTTCTGAAAATGAACACGCACCAGGAACCAAATATTTTGATGCTGAGATTGAGAACGCCATCGGCTGTTTAAATGTTAAGACAAAATTTACGACGACGACGTCGTCGGATAATAAAGACTGTGATAATAATGGACCGATTTCTATAAATTATTCTGTGGGAAATGATGAAGTGCAGAAAGTTAGAGAAAATAATTCCAGGTAGTAAATTGATAGCATATTTTTAACTTCCTGTAGGGTAGTTATAATGACGAAAATCGAAAATGAATTTTTTTGCATTTCTTGACGTTTTAAAGGTTTCTGAACATTTTGCCATACCACAGAAAAAATGGATGTGTGTGTGTGTGTTTTGTATGTCCGCATTGTTTCGTCCATGTTTTCGGGCGCACGGATCAAACAATTTGAATGGTTCAAAAAACATTCGATAGCTATTGATAGGGAGATATGCTGATTAGTTTTTGGCAAAGGCAGGTCCAGCCGTTACGGAGATACGGAGCAAAGAGTGCAGAAAATACAAATCGAGTTTTTGAGAGAACAGAGTATCGGATTTGAATGATCTAAAAAACATTCCATTTGTAATGTTTGGGAGAAGAGGTGATTAGTTTTTGGCAAAGACAGATCCCGCCATTTCGAAGATACAGAGCTAAATGTGCAAAAAATGGCAGTTTTTGAGTGAACTAAGCGTCCGATTTGAATGATCTAAAAAACTTTTTGCTTGTATTAACAAAACAATTTCTTTTGAGGATAAAAAAATATTTCATCTATTTTTATTTTCCATAAAATATTTTTGTAATTTTGGATTAAAAATTCAAAAAATTACCCAGACTAAGCACAGTCTAAGCGCCACTCTGGTACAAATGTTTACCCAAGTGCATTTAGACTGTTTATGTAATGGAGAACTTTTCCAATTCCAGGCAACTATTTTTTTGAAATTGAATTTTGAAAATGAAAAGACGATTGTTAATGTTCTAGAGATAAATTGTTTTATGATTTACATTTGATTTGCTCAGATATAACAAGATAGCAAAAATAATGAAAGTTGCAGTATTTGTAATAATATATTTGAGAACGTTTAAAATTTCTCGAATATTTCATTACGGTACGGGAAGTTCCAGCAATTTGCCTTAAGGCGCGATGCCATACACCACTAGTTCATATTAGGATGGATTAATATAACTTGATGATTTTAGATATGATACTGATATAAGGAAAGCCTGGGTGCATGAAGTTTTGGAAAATAGAAGTCCAGCATCAGTTATGTTGGAGAAACCTATTTTAAATAACAGTGATACCGATACAGACACTTTGGAAACTTTGATGAACTCCAATTCTTCTTTGGTAGGTATGGCAACGAAAAACAAATATTTTTTTAAGTAACTGTGATTAAAATTAAATTACTTTTATCTTACCTATCATTACAAATATGTCTTCTTCCTTAGTTGAGGAGAAGAGGTTCGCACCAGAGACGAACAGCAGGTGAAGATTCCACGTTTCGGCCCTTGTCTGGAAATTCTAACTGTTCCACAAATGCTGAGAGTATCAGAATAAATCACAGGGAATCCAGTGGTGATACCGAGGAAGAAGGAGATTGTGATACTGTTTCTACTCCTGGAACCGTCGGTTCATGTTGTCCTCATCTTAATGATACTCCGCCGTCAGTCAACGAATGGATCGGAGTCACTACAAATAGTAAAAAAAATATATAAAACATAATAGTATAAAAATGTTGGTTACTTATATGTACTTTGCTTCAAGGTGAGGAGTGCAGTTATAGTTCAGAATTGGAAGAGACTGATTCGCAATACGAGCACAGTAATGCTGATCTTGTGGACCATCCTTTTGCTTGGGAATTCGGGTCAAATACTGTTCTTAGTCCAAGTTGTGCCGCTTCCGACAGAGGTAATTAAAAATAATAAATAGTTGTTTGCCCAAAAGTTACTGACGGTCATGTCCTCATTCTTGTCTATTATTAACGCCCCGAAGGAGAAGTTTGTTTTCATCAAAAAATCCGATTCGCTAATTTTATCTTTTCTCGACGTTTCAAGTCATTTTGAATCGAATGAGACCAAATTTGGAAAAAGTATGTGTGTGTGTGAACAGATTTTTTGCCGTAAATCGACGTTTTCTCAAAAAAGGCTGGACCGATTTCAACAATTTAAAAGCCATTCGATGTATCTCGATGAGGACTAGCGTTTATCAATTTTGAGCAACGATCAGCCAATCCGTTTTTTTTATAAATAGCAGAAAAGTGAAAAATATTTTGTCCACGTTTTAGCCCGCAGTTCTGAATCAATTTTCAAAATTCAAAAACCGTTCGAAAGATATTGGTTGGGAATCGGCCTGATTAGTTTTTGGTAGAGATACGCTGGCACAATTTCTTGTAATTAACTGCTGAATTTTTTTTTGACGATCTTTATGATTTTTTTTTTTTGACGGTAGATACCATGGTCTTATGGATCATACTAAAATACTACGGCCCTACGAAAGTCGTTTAATTTTAAAAATTCGTTAAAGTTTGCAAAAATTAGTATCGTATAAGCCAATCGATGTATTTTGATGTGGATTATGTTTCCTCAGTTTTGTGTGACGATCTGCCGAGCCGTTTCTTTGTAATTTGAAAAAAGTGTTAATCTTTACGTCCACATTTTAGCTCGTACTACCGAATCGATTTTAAAAGATCAAAAACTGTTCGAAAGATATTAGTTGAAGTTTATACTGAATAGTTTTAGGTGAAAATCTACCGAGCCGTTTGCTTGTAATTAATTGTTGAAAAAAATTAAGCCGACTTTAATGGAACTTTTTTTGGCGATGAATATCGTGATCTTATAGAACTTACTGAAATATTACGGACTTACGACAAGTAGTTTAATTTTGAAAATTTATCAAAGTTTGAGAAATGAGTAGTTTTTTGACGTTTGTTATAATTAAAATTTGAGGATTCACTTATTGGTATACCGATAGAGTACTTGGTCTTAATGAACATACTAAACCATTAAAGTCCTACGAGAACTGGTTCAATTATAAAAATTGTTGATTTTTAAAAATTTGCTTTTAGAAAAAACTCCGAGTTAACGTGTTCGTTCGTTTTCAAATATGTGTAATAAATCCACTCGGAATACTTTTAAACACTCATAAATTGATTTATTTTTTAATTGATTAAGTCGATTATTTTATATCGGGAAGTTCATGTAACTTGTCTTAAGGCAAAATACCAATACCGTTTAGTTAATTTTTGTCTTTTTCGATAATGTTTTTTTTTTCAGTTAGTTGTACAGTTTGGGACCATCGCGAAATTAAAAAGGCAGACCTATCAGTCTTAGATATAAGTTCTACCATCATAGCCCGCGTGGAAGGAATGCCTGAAACTTGTGATTATTTTTATGGAGGAGTTGCCTTGTCTATTTTGTTGGCCCTGATACCGGCAGTTTGCAGACTTTGCAGATTTACCATCGATCACAATCATGCTGATGATCATTTGTCTGTTCTGGATCTTTTGTCTTTGGTGTCGGAAAAAATGTCTGGATCTTTTGTGACGTTGATTGATATGGCTTTTGGACAAAATTTAACGTAAGTATAAATGATCGAAAACTTTGGTCTATCTATTGATTAATTGAGTTTAATTTTTTTATTTCAGGACACGGATGATTCTCATCATCAGTTTAACACAAAGGATAATACTGTCCTGTTTATTTTTCTTTTTGTTGGCGGTTGCTGAACGTGTTTTCAAACAGCGTTTCCTGTATGCAAAACTGTTTTCACACCTGACGTCATCTCGTCGAGCGCGAAAATCTGAATTACCACATTTTAGACTTAATAAAGTCAGAAATATCAAGACGTGGTTGTCTGTTCGATCATACTTGAAAGTAAATATAATTATTTTAAATTCATTTATATGGTATAATTCGAACCAAGACTAATGGTGATTTTTGGATTCCAGAAAAGGGGACCTCAAAGATCAGTAGATGTCATTGTATCAGCTGCTTGTCTCATAACATTATTGTTGTTATCATTTTTAAGTGTAGAATTGCTTCGGGTAAGATATACAAACAACAAATTCGAATAAATCTTACTATATAAAATATTATGTTTATAACAATGTCTCCTTTATCAGGATTCCGTGCATCTTCATTCACAATGCAACGTGGAAGCTTTTGCATGGTCACTTGCATTAGGGATGTTTTTGCTGAGATTTATAACACTTGGAACCAAAATAAATCAAAAATACAGAAATCTCTCTGTACTGATCACAGAACAAATAAATTTGTATCTACAGATCGAACAGAAGCCAAATAAAAAGGAGGAACTGATGGTTGCTAATAGTGTTCTCAAACTGGCTGCTGATCTTCTTAAGGTAATAAAAACTAATTTGGGAAAATAAATTGATATATTAATTTTCTAATTTTTTTACTTCAGGAATTGGAGTCTCCTTTCAAAATATCCGGTCTATCAGCAAATCCAATTCTATATACAATAACAAAAGTGGTGATTTTATCAGCATTATCAGGTATTCTTAGTGAAATGCTCGGATTCAAACTAAAACTGCACAAAATTAAAATAAAATAGTTACTGTATACAAACGTTATATATATTATCTTGTGAAGATATTACTGTAAATAGCATTAAATTTTAATGAAGGATCTCTAAAATTTTAATTACTGACTAGGTTGTATAGTTACATAATTTAGCGTTATGTTGAAGATAGTTATATGAATTCTTATAATTAGTTAGTTTAAGACTTTGACGATTATAAAAATGTTTAGATTCTCATGTTGATCTGCTTATATTTACATGTAAATAAATTTAGATAAAGTTTTAGTGATATAATAAATTATATAATAGAAAAACGACTTTCTTATAAAACATACATACACGCAATCCAATTTCGGTGTCACATGTCCAATTTCGGTGTCAAACGATTCAGAAAGACTTGATAGGAGCAAAAATAAAATTAGCAAATCGTATTTCCTGGCAAAAATATAATCTTCGGAAAGTTGAAAAATATGCAAAAAAGTGATTATCAAAAATCAAGTGATAAATAAACTAGTTGTAAGTGGCGTTTTGCCTTATGGCAAGTAGCATTGATTTTTCGATACGTGTAAATAATCGGTTTAATCTTTTTTTTTTAATTTATGTATGATCCATCTGTCTATCTGTCTGCAAAAAATAAGCAAATCGTATTTTCTGGCGAAAATATAATCTTTTTCTTCGGGAAGTTGAAAAATGTGAGAAAAAAGATATTTTCAAAAATCAAGTGACGAATAAATAAACTAGTTGTAAGTGGCATTTTGCCTTAAGGCAAGTTGCATGAATTTTCCAATATGTTTAGATAATCGATTTAAGCAATATTTTTTAATTTATTAATATTCTACCTGTTTACCTGTCTGCCTGTCCATCTGCTTTCTTTCTACATTTATTTCCCTTTTGTATTTTCACCTTCTTATTGGTCTGTCTGTCCACCTGTTTACCTGTCTATCTATCAACTTGTTGATCTGCTGACCTGTCCGATGATCAATTTATATTATTGGTCTACCAGTCTATATATCTACATGTCTTGTTATCTACTTTTTTACTTGATTACCTGTTTACCTGTCTATTTTTCATATTCTTTACTTTTCTACTTTTTTACCCATGTATCTGTATTCCTGTGCACCAGTTTACGCAGATGTGTTGTGCTAATATTTTTTGCTAAAATTAATAGACAGGTTCAAAAACCGTATTTGTTTCGGTTCCATTTGAGTTTCGGTTCAGCAAAAAAAAACGTTGCGGAATCTGGTTAGGAGAAACAGGCCGCGGTTTGCTCCATTTGGGTTCAAATAAAACCCTTGTTTCCAATAATACATATAAAATTTCATTAAAAATTAGAAAAAAATCAGCGTTTTTTTAATACGTCAGCTAATTCTCGATATCAAAAATCTTCTTTGATTCCGGAACACGTTATTCAAAAAGGAAATACCGGAACGACGTTCCGGATTGTTCCGGCATACAACTCCACTGAGTGTACCTTTTGCAACTAATTTTGTTTATAATTTCTTCATATTTGTCAAAAAATGTCAATTTCTGCTTTTTTTCTGAAACGCCAATTCCGCCAAAAACCGCTAGTCCTGATACTTTCGCAAAAATTCTTCATTCCGTTAACAAAAGTGAAATGTTCTTTGAATCATTCAAATCGGTGCTTCTTTTTTCTCCAAAAATGTTATAGGTGGAAAATTTTCATTTTTATGTGTTTGCTATTACTATAACTCATCCTGCGTGAAGTTTTTAAATTTTAAATTTGATGTTTAAAAACTTGTTATGTTGGCAGTCCTCACTTCCTGCAAAGTTAACAGTGCAGAAGTGATGTGACATTTTAATGGAAGCCTAAGTGACATATTGAATATTCGATTAAATTTATGCTAAATATTTGAAAAAAAAAAATACATTTTAATTTAAAACAAATGTTCAAAATTCTAGTGATTTGAAATAATATAAATTATTTGCATAAGTAGTTTTGTTATTTTTGTAAGTTGTTTAAGAGGGATGTGCATTACAATTTGACATACCGATCTGACTGTTGTGTTATGAATATGCATTTTAGTTATTTTACATTTGGGACATTTACTTTAATACTTACTAATCGAATATCCGAATCAAATCGGATAGGACGGGACAATATTCTTCATAAAAAACTATATATAAATATTTCTAATTTATTATAATTTGTGCAAAGGTGGTTAAATGCAAAATGGCGAACGAAGACATCACAAGGTTAGTCCTTCTTTTTTAAATAAATAGTTATTGATGCTAATTAAATAACATGAAATATTGTCTATCGAAGAACTTGGATCATTATAATCATCAGTAAGACAACTATTATTACTGAAACATGGTGTTGTATTACATAATACTTAGGTGGTTGTACAATATCTAAAACCGTCAAGCCTTCTCACTAAATTTATATATCGATTTGCGTTTACATAGTAAAAAACATTATTTATTGTATCATACCTTTAATTTCTATTTGTCAATAATGTTATGAGTTTATCTAGATCACATAACTAGATAAAGACAAAGTGAAAAATCGCTCAGAAATTACAGATAGAAATAAGATTTATATATTGAAAAATTTATAGGGATTATATGATATAATCCTAATATTTTATAAAAAAAATTATTTTATAATATTTTGACTCAGATCAGTCTTGTCTTGATCCTAAATTTTGTTAAATTTTTGGTTTGCTTTTATATTGCTTACATTTTTCTCATACCACTTACATTTTTATTTGCATCTTTTGTAATTATTAATAGTAAAAGTATATATTGATTAAAAAGCTCAATAGATAAATTAAAATTTATTAAATTAAAATGTATCATTTACCAATACTTGCAACAATTTAGACACAACCTTAACATTGATACTATTTCCTAAAAGTCGATAACACTGTTTTTGTGTTGTATTTTGTGGAAAACTAAAATCATCAGGAAAACACATCAATCTCGACACCTCTCTTGGAGTAAAGTATCTTAACTTCAAAGTTTTCAATTTTTCTAGTTTTTCTTCACATGATAAACCTTCACATTGTTGATAAGTATCTTCAACTGTTGATTTTGGGATGTTAGATAATACTGAACCAGTTCCATTGGCATAATGTGTGTATGCTTTTGTGAAACATGTAGATCTTTTGTCTTCAGGGTAACATATGTCGAGGACCCAAACGTATTTTGATAATACTTTTTCTGGGAGGAAATATGATTCGTTTACGTCATTTTGTAGGTAATTGCTTATGGTAAGCATTTCATTAGATTCCAATTCTGGTTCAAACTACAAAAGTAGAAAATATATTAATATAAGTCAAATTAGTGATTTATCTTATAAGATCTTTATTAGATCTTACTTGTTTCATTGTACAGAATTAAAAGTATATTTATATCATTTCATGATATCAATTTTGTTTATCAATTAACTAACCATTTCCTCATGTTTCAATTCCTTCAAACCATTACTTTTCTTAGCTAAACAATAATATCTCATTCTTGAATTAGGTACACCGACCCATTTAGGACTCCTCAAATACTCGTAAACATTAAAACAATTTGTTTTAAATACTGTAATCAGTTGATCTCTAGCAACAGATTTCTCAAAGCCCATTACATTTTCTAATAAAACATATTTTAGATTTTTAATATGCGGTAAAATATTTAAAACATGCAAAAAGGATGAGGTTCTGGCATCTTCGACGTCTTTCTGATTTCCATTTCTTGTAAACGGTTGACAGGGGGGCGACATTAATATGGTATTAATATTCAAATCTGAAATAAAAGATGATTGAATATTGAGTCTAAAAACTCATCAAATAGTAATGATCATATTTACTTATACTTTTACTCTAAAATATTAAGCATTAAAAAGATTTTAAACATTTGCATTTACTGTTTGTTATCCAATAACTCTTGCATAGTGTTAGTATGATCACAAACATTTACAATTATACTATTGATGTTTTTACCATCGATCATTTCAGGAGTCAACGACAAAATATTTTTATTAAGGCAAACGGGTCAGGATAGTTGTGTTTATACACAGAAGTTGCTAGTGGATTTAGATCTATCGACATGACTATTTTTCCTTGTAGGCCACTCTCTAAAAATTTATAGAAAACATTATTTACAAGAATTTTAATATGTAATTAAAAAATTGTAGTAACAAACCTTTAAAAGCATAGTGCATGCCTCCGATGCCACAATATAATTCTAAAATACGTAATTCTTTCTGTGAATCCATTGTTTGCTGTAAGAATATTTTTTTAAGGTTTTAGCTCTTCTAAGTTTACTTTATGAAGCTACATTTAGTTCTTGTAATTCCTAAAAATTATGACTGTTCTGTTTTGGGTTTCCTGAATTTATTTTCGTCAATTAATAAAAGTAAAAGTACGTTTATTTTCAAAATACTTCATAATCATAATAAAATAGTTTATAATTCACAATTATATTAAGTAACCCATTTTCTCATTTGCTTTACAAGTCAAATTTGTAGGTTAGGATGCACGTGGTTTTGACAGCTGTCACTTTGACATTTAAAGATTATTTACAATCTGGTTGAATATTTCTGTTTGAGAGATTCCCTCATAGATAAATAAGTATAATAAGTGGATTACCCGAGTTTATTTCGCTCAAAATTTTATTTTATCAAATTTTTATTTATCTTGATCCTATAATTTACAGTTGCTAAATATATTTTTCATTCAAACTTCTTTCCTGCTCTCATAAACATAAGAAATCAAATCAGAAGTGAATGAAAATAGGAAAAAGCTGAAATTAGTGAATATTTTAATTTACATCATGACTGCATTTTATAAATGACAATAACAATAAATTCTTTAGTCTATTTTCATTGTGATGCACTCTACTGCTCATATGCCTTCAATTCTTTATGATGTTTAAATTTTCTTCTCGAGATTACATGAGTATTAACTTTTTTATGTAAATGTGGAGTAACAATATATCTATTTTTTTGATTGTAATAGATAGTAGGCCCCATATTACAAAGTTCATTACATTAAACTTACAAATAATTCAAAATTTACAATTGGAACAGGAGGTGCATTATCATCCATTTTAAATAACATTAAATTAATTAATTTTTTTGCTTTCTTATCCCTCAAATTATTGTTATATTGTAATCACAAATACTTTGGCAAATTAATTCTTTAATAAGTTTCTATTGTTGCATTAAACGGTTAACACAACCTTGCTGGAAGTTGCATTTAAAGTTAATTTAAAAAAAAAATTATGAATTTGTTTCTATTCAAGTTTTCTTGTAAATGAAAAGTATCAAATAAGAAAACTTGAGTGATTAAATAGGTAATTTTATATAATAATCGTGATTTTGTTGTATCATCACTGAGAAATATTAAAAGTATCTCCTATAATTGCTATAAGGTAGCAAAACTTTATAGGTTGTAAATTGTAAAATATTTTGATAAGTTCTCTTATTAAAATAACAAATAATGTAAAAATATTACACTGAAGAAGTAATACAAAAATAAATATGTTCATTTTAAAATTTAACACTATATGAATATTTTAAATATGCAATATTAAAAAATTGTCATAATAATTTATACAATATTTATTCTTTAATTACTACATCATTTCTCATGCAAAAGTTGTCTCCGTATCTCAAATGTTAAGACTGATAAAGCGGATGCAGCATTTAAACTATCCACACCTTTGGCTAATGGAATATGGACACGTTGCCCATTGAAGAAATTAGCAAACCTAAAAAACAATTGTTATTAATATTAAAGCAGTCTATGATATGATATTTTTTTTTACTTACTGATATGCATCATAACTTATTCCTTCTGTTTCTCCACCAATAATTAGAATAGTATGTTTATCATTGTTTTTATAATTTACATTTTCATATGACTCAAGTGGCAATTTAATTTTGCTTTGGAAAGTATTGGAATCAGCTATAAAAACTTGGCAGTTGTCCGGTAAATGTTCGTTTATTTTATTCCACACAATATCATCAAGCATAGTTAAGCGAAAATGACCTCCTGAGCCTGCTCTCAACACTTTGGTGTCCCAAGGATCCACACAACCTGATAGAAGTAAAATAGCTTGATAAATATTTTGTGGTTATAATATAATTTGTTAGATTTTACCTTTCGTTAGTAACAATTGGTGGCATGGAATTGCTGCACAAGTTCTAATAATCGATCCCATATTTGTCGGTTCCCTGATGTTGTCACAAATAACAGTGAGCGGTACGATGGTCACATCTACTTTCTGTGGAATATAATATTGAGGAGGTCGTGTGAACAATCCCATAATTCCAGGATTCGTTGTTAAGTTTGACCAAAATGCCATATCTCCATGTGGGACTTTATAAAACATGCATTTAGGATCTCTTTCATAATTTTTTAAATGGTTTTGCAAAATCTTTAAATACTCCACTTTACTGAACATTAGTTTTTGCAATTTTAAATCAGCTTCTAAAGCATCTTCTATGAGTCTACGACCTTCTAATAAAATTTGATTGGATTGTTGGCGGTATTTTCGCGATTTTATTGAAACCATAAGGCTGCTGAATTTCGCATCACCCATTTTGAGCTTTTCGTATTCAAAGTTTGTAGCCTCGTCGATTATTATATGATTTGGTTTGCCTTCGGATTTAACAGGTTGTGAATGAACTTTTTTAATTTTAGGCTTCTGTAAGTTTTTCGTAGATGTACTCGATTTTGCTTCATTTTTATTAATATCTTCTAATGATAGCTCAGTTACTGTTTCAGCATCTTTTTCATGTGTAATTTGTTCCTTTACTAGTTCTTTGGTTTTAACTGGTTGTGGGTTCATTAATTTATTATACTCCTCTATAAAACAATCAAAATTCATATTTATAATAAGCAATCAGTATTATCATTCATACATTATCAATCATAATTTACCTAGTTCAACTTTTCCTATTTTTTCAAATTCTTTCAAGTCTTTTGGTTCTAACATTCTTGATGGCCTTCGAGATACCCATCTTGTGTAAGTCCGGGCAGTATTTATTAGAAAATTAAACTTTGCAGACATTATTTAAATAATACTAATTAATAATTAACAAATAGTTTATTAGATACTATATTTTTTGTTCTATATGCACAGGTTATGCGCATATGAATGATTGAGGTTATGTTTGGCTTTGGTTCTTAATCTTGCGGAATGTTCGGAAGCTGCGCTTTTGTTAGGCGGAAATATTTGAATTTTAGAAGAATTTCAACAAAATTGACTTGTAAAATACAATTTTAACACTTTCCACTCACGAATTACGAGATTTATATGAATTTTACCGGCATCTGAGTCGAAAGGGTTAAATCTATCTAGGTGTTAGTGGCATTGTGCCTTTAGGTACGTAACTTACTTAACAATTACTTACCGTAAGTTGTATAACCTCACTGATAATGGTGAATAATCTACAAAATAAATCAGCTTTGAAATTTAGCTTTATTGAAAAAAACGTTTTTGAATATCCGAAATCAAACGTGGACGAATAATTTTGTACTTATTCGCTAAACAGCTCCGAATTCAATCCTGAGGAATGATATATTGTTCGAGTTTTCATCAATTTGAAAACTCGTACAAAAATAATCAAAGAAATATATATTGTCTCATAATATTACAATGAGCAAACAAACTCGTATTCAAAATACTGTGCAAATTTTCAAACTTTTAACGGATATTCAAAAAAAAAATCATTTGGTGGTAGAAGACGGTTCTAAATCGAAGATTTATCGAAACAAATTATATAAGTTTATAAAAATATATCAGAAATTTCTTCGCTCTTCAATTTTATGATAAAGTATAGTATTAGTGTTAATTTTTTAAATGTTTCTATTCTTAGAAATAAAATTAACAACGAAACAAAATGAGTTTTATGCTTTCATAAAATAATTACGGATTTTTTTACTTATTAACCTTCTATAGGGTAAGTTACAGTAATCGTCCAAAAATCGAAAATGAAAATTTTAACATATCTCAGGGTTTTTCTAAACATTTTGGTATACTTTAAAAAGAATGTATGTGCGTGTATATGTATGGACACACTTTTTGTCGACGATTTTGGGTGCACGGGTCAACCGATTTGAAGGATTCAAAATGCATTCAATTCGCACTGATAGGGTGACATGGTGATTAGTTTTTCGCAAAAACAAGTCCAGTCGTTTTGGAGATATCTAACTAAAAATGCAAAAAATTGCAGTTTTTGTAAGATTGAAGCTTCCGATTCGAATGAGTCAAAAAAAAATTTTGCTTGCTTCGACATTGTGAAAAAATTATTAGTTTTTGGGGAAGGCAAAAAAAAAACATTTTTATTTCAAAATGTTTTGTTTATTTACTATGAACATATAAGGTTGTCAAATATCTCCCTTCCGCCTTTTTGTATTATAAACCAAGAGCAAAAAAGCGGAAGGGAGATATTTGACAATCTAATATATCAACGTCGTCGTCAAATTCTCTTACATTTCGTCTACAAAATACGAGTAACGAAAGTTACATTATTTATAATAATCTATTTGAAAACATTAGATATTCCACAAATGTTCCATTACGGTACGGGAAGTTCCAGCAATTTGCATAACGGTGTTATGCCTCACTAGCTTTATTTTAATTTAACCTTAATTAGATATCATTGTTATTACTTCCTCTAATATTACGAATTTAGTATTGAGCATTTGAGAATGTCCAAAAAAAAGTTTAAGAATGTTTTTTTCAAAATTCCAATTACTACTGCACGATACGATTTATTATTAATCATTTTACAAAAATATTACATTTTAGATTTACTTGGAATGTGCAACATTTTGGAATATTTTTCAATGGCCTTCTCTGCAACTTGTTTATTTGTCGATTTCATTGAACTATTTTTTATTCCCGTTTCAAAAATCCTATCCCAAATACACATGCGATAAATTTCTGAAAAATGTCTCATTCCAAAGTCTCGTCTTCCTATTTCTAAATATTTAGGATCCAAACTGTCACAAGGGTCCCATGTGTATCCTGCTAAAGCATCGATGATTCTATATCTTTGCACTAATTCGGATTTCATGGGATTACTGGAAATAGATAATTCATAAATTGAACAATAATAAATGAATTTATAAATATATGTCATATCATCTTACCCTGTTTTAGCAAAGTTCGTCCACATAACTACCATTCTATTGTGAGTCCTTTGAGCAGTTTCATCAGTCGGAATATTCAAAGGCCAAGAAAACAGATACAAAATTGGTGACATTTTGAACAAATAACCCAAATCATCAGTATGAGCCACTCCACGCAAATGGTTCCAGTTTTCAGAGCATATTTTTTTATGAATACTGTAACTATCATCCGACAGCATGTATAAATACAATTTACTTTTCCTTTTGTAATCAAATCCATGTTTGAGTGTTCTATAAATTCCATTTAAAAACCAGGCATCTCCCATGAGATGAATATATGCTCCTAGTCTATCATCAGGATCATCATCGTTATAAAAATGTTCTACATAAGTTTCACACAGTTCTTTCACAATTTTGGCTTGATCTTGGCCCAAAGGATTCTCCCAAATAAATGCATCTCGTGGTATAACTCTTTCAGGATCTCTTAAAGTTTTTTCAACTTCGTGGCAATCAGCATCTACTCGTGTCAAAGCAAAAAGTCCTTCCATGTTGTTGAAACCAATTATTACATCTTTTTCTGGTAATCCTTCTTCCTGCATCAGTTTTAAAACTGATTCAGTTATTATAGGATCAGGATTTGCTTCACATTTTTCTTCTATTACTGGTTTGAAAACTGGTTCTGTGGCTCGTCTGATGTCTTCTCTATCAGGAACGTCGGATAAAGATGCTGAAAGCAGGGTTCTGGAGTCGACATTTAGCAAATCTTCTTTGAGCAAGTTTTAGGGATTCTTGAAGTTTTTCCAAATTCTGGAAGAATACTTGAATAAAACTTTGTAGTAAACAAGCATAGTTTTACCTTCCCGAAGGAGAAGTTTATGGATTTATCAAAAAATCAGATTCGCTAATTTTATGTTTTCTCGACGTTTCAAGCCATTCTGAATCGAATGAGACCAAATTTGGAAAAAGTATGTATGTGTGTGTGTGAACAGATTTTTTGTCTTTCGATGTATCTTGATGAGGACTAGTGTTTCTCAATTTGTGCAACGATGGCCGAGCCGTTTCTTTGTAAATCGCAAAAAAGTGAAATATTTTTCGTCTACGTTTTAGCCCGCAATTCCGAATTTCTGATCCACTGGGCAGTTTTCTGTATGAAAGTGTTGAAAAAACTTTTTTCGACGATTTTTATGATTTTTTTTGACTGTAGATATCATAGTCTTATAGATTATACTAAAATATTACGATCCTACGACAAGTCGTTTAATTTTAAAAATTCTTCAAAGTTTGTAAAAAATTAGTATCGTTTTTTGGCGTTTATCAAAATTAGAAGTTTCATCGACGTTTGCTCAAAAACGCCTTAACTGATTTCAAAAATTTAAAAGCCAATCGATGTATCTTGATGTGGATTATCTTTTCAGCAGAGCCGTTTTTTGTAATTTGGAAAAAAGTGTTAAACCTTTCGTCATTTGAGCTCATACTACCGAATCGATTTGAAAAAATCAAAAACTGTTCGAAAGATATTAGTTGGGAATGATACTGATTAGTTTTAGGTGAAAATCTACCGAGCCATTTTGATGTATTTAAATGTTGAAAAAAAAATTAAGTCGATTTTTATGGAACTTTTTTTTAGCGATATATATCATGGTCTTACAGAACTTACTAAAATATTGCGGCCTTACGACAAGTAGTTTAATTTTAAAAATGCATCAAAGTTTAAGAAAATGAGTAGTGTTTTTGACGTTTGTTAAAATTATAATTAGACGATTCACTTGGTATAACGATATAGTACTTGGTCTTAATGAGCATACTAAACCATTATAGTTCTACGAAAACTGGTTCACCTTTTGGGGTTCGAATTGGATTGCCCAAAGGATTTAGTGCTGTTCCGCTTTGCAAAATAGCTTTTTGATACAAATCATTCGTAGATTTATCCATCATCAAATAATGTACACTGGCTGCTCCTGCAGATTCTCCAAATATAGTTACATTTTCTTTGTCTCCACCAAATTTTTCGATATTTTTGTTCACCCAACGGAGAGCTTCTCGCTATAAACCAGTAAACTTTTTTAATATATACATCCAGTAAATTTAAAACGCTAAATTTTCACAAATTTCAATTACATTTGGTTATTTTTTCCTACCTGATCTTTCAACCCCATGTTTCCATAAATTCCCCATTCAGGTGCGCAAAGAAATCCGAAAACTCCGAGACGGTAATTGATGGTGACTACAATAACGTCCTGTTTGACGAGATAATCAGGACCATAATATTCCCAATCACCAGATCCTGTATTAAAAGCCCCGCCATGAATCCAGAACATTACAGGATATTTTGTGTCCTTATTTTCTTCGGTAACCAAAGGAGTATAAACGTTCAAGTAGAGGCAATCTTCATCTCCTTGAAAGGGATTTAGTTTAAGTCCTTTTCATAAAAATTAAATCATAATTACAAAGTTATTTTGTAGAAAATATATCTAATTCTGGTAAACGTTAAATGTTAATGAAATGTGTTTGGTCTCCAGTGAAAAAAAACTTGTTCATAAAAATAAAATAAAAATAGAAAACGAGTGAAAAAAATGAATGATTAATGAATATTTGTACTTGATATGAAAATTTATTATTTTTATGATTTTATTTACCTGTGTATGTTTGGAATAAACTATTGCATTGTTGAACTGCATTGTTTCCCAATTTAGTTGCCCATTGTTCACAGCAACGGTTTTCAACTGGTTCTGGAGGCTGTTTTTGGAGAAAGATTTTTTTTAATTTCTTTTATTAATTGCAATCTGTCTTTATCCGAAAAAAGACCTTCAATAATTTTGAGGACACATGGCAAATTAACATCTAATTCTAAAAGGTTACTCAGCAGCAAGTCTTGGAAAAAGATAGATAAATTTTTTTAGCTAGTTTTTAGAAACAGATTTTTTACTGATTGACTGAATTCATTAAGTTGTAAAGCTAAATTGAGCATAAATAAAATTAAACAAAATAAGGAAGGGAATTGTAGGGATTGTTCTATTGACTAATTGTCTACAGGATTCCATTTTTTATATAAAGTCGATATGCAGTTTTGTTGAGGTTTCTTTTAGTTAGACGATATATTAAGAAAATAAGCCAGTGGAAAATGAGAAATTGCTCTTATTGATGGCATTCTATACCAAAAGGATGTTTAGGTCAACGTGTATGATTTTGTTTAAAGTTCTTAAAATTAAAAAAAAATTAAAAGTTTATAGAAACTTTGGAACTTTGCATAGCATTTACACTTGGTATTGAAATTGCAATCGCATAATTCTGGAATTTGTTAAATTTAATAACAATTATATATTCTAAACTTAATAGGAGAAGAAGTTAGACTTAATATATATTATCTTAAATAGTTAGACTTAATATAATATATATCATCTGTTCCTTCACTGAGAAAAAAGTGCTTATTTTTAATAGAAACAACTGATGTAACTTTTCTTTTTGAATCTTTTTTAGAAACTCATTCGACGTTTATATTTGATATATTTTTTATGAGAATTGATCCAGTCTACATTATATACTTTTAAATTTGATGTAATGCTGTAGTAATGATAGGTGCTATTTTCACTTGGAAACATATTATTATTGATCTAGTTTCTTAAATTTGTATATATAGTTCCTTTTTTTACTTCCTCATATTTAAAGAAATCAACTACATATTTGGCTTGTTATTCATTTTGGGAGTTTAAAAATGTGGAAATTGAAAACAGTCAAAAAATAAAAAACGTGGAAAGTCTCAAAAAATTGACACGTGACCATATCATGATTATAGCCCTCCAAATAATCCGAAAAAAAAACTACTAGTGGTGCATGGCATCGTGCCTTAAGGCACATTGCTAGAACTTCCAGTATCAAATACTACCATTTTTAAAAATCTTAACAAAACTATCAAAGAAAGAAATTTAATTTTTGAAAATTTTGAAATTTTTGAAAAAAAATGGATTTTTTTATATTCTGAACTTTTTTATTGGATCTCCGAAAACGGTGGTCCTGCGTTTCCAAAAATTTCACCAGTTGTTTATTACAAGAAAAATGTTGAATCATTCAAATAGGACGCTCCGTTCTCTCAAAAACTGAAATAGCATTTTGTGCTTTTTTTGCTCCGTATCTTCGAAAAACCTAGACCTGTCTTTGCCTAAAACTAATCAGCACGTTTCTTTACAATAAAAATCGAACGTTTTTTTGAATCATTCAAATCAGTTGTTCCGTGTTCTCGAAATCGTCGACGAAAAATTGTATCCGCACATACATACACACACACACACACAAACATACATTCATTTTTTCTAAGGTATGCCAAAATGTTCAGAAACCCACAAAACGTGAAGATTTGCAAAAATTTCGATTTTTAGACTACTACAATAACTCACTCTACGGTAAGTTAAAAACAAGAAAATAATAATCTAGAATAAAGTCGCATTTGTACGTACTATAGACAAGTTAATAACATTGTTTTCACTAACTAGTGACTGTCTGAAAATAAAATATAACTTTTTTTTTAATATATTTGCATTTTTTTAAATTGATTGACAAAGAAAAGGATATATGGTACACTATATAATTATATACAGAATTAAAGTGTAAAGTTTAATTATAAAATGTATATGACTGAAAAAAAAAGAAAAATGGTAACATTTTGAATTAGGTTTTGGTTTGGTAGCATAATTCATACATAATTTGAGGTACATCGGTCCAGTAAAAGTTAAGAAATCGTGAGTATCCTTACCCCCTTACTTCAAAAATATCAATTACCCACCTGAAATCTCAGTTCTCCAACAGGTGGCTTGGCATACGGAATCCCCATAAAAGCTCTGTATTTACTAGTACTTCCATTGCAAAAACAAGTACCTCTCAGAATACCTTGATCCAAAACAACAGTCTGAGGATCAAATCGTGCACATTCCTCTTCAGTACCAGCAGAATTATCTTTTACACCTGCGGTTTCTTTTAACGTTTCTATAAAGTTGTTTAAGACTGGATATGACAGCATAAGTAAAGTTATCTTGGGATACAAGGGCATGATGAAGGATTAAAGGGTTTGCAGTAGATTTCATGATTGAATAATAAGAATTTTGAATTTTGATATTTTTTGTCGAATATTTTTTGGTTGCGTCTACATTTTTATTTTTTGAAACATAGTTAACGATTTATATAGAATTTGAGTGTAAATGATAACCTGAAATAAAAATTAGGGCAGGTGATGAAAAATTTGATTTTACATTGTCATATTGACTTGAAATTTTGACAACGAAAACAAAATTTTGATTGAGTAGATATTTGAAGATGTTTTAATTATAATAAATATTATATTATTGTATTATGAAATAGACAAATGATATGTATATATAAAATATGAAAATTGTTTCATAATCAGACCTCTATCTGACTGAGATATGAAAATATTATATCAATAAATAAACAAAAAATTATGAAAAAATAGTATTTTATCTAATAAATAATAAAACTAGTGGGGCGCATGGCATCGTGCCTTAAGGCATATTGCTGGAACTTCCCGTACCAAAAATTATTATTTTTTTGAAAACGATTAACATTTTTGAAAAAATTTTACTTCGAAAAAATTAGATTTTTGAGAAACTATAAACTTGAAAAAAATTACTTTTTTTTGAAAAAAAAAATTTTTTTTGAAAAAAAAAAGTTTTCTTTATTAACTTCCCGTAGGGCAAGTTATAGTAATCGCAAAAAAATCGAAAATGAAAATTTTTGCATTTCTCGACGTTTCAAAGGTTTCTGAATATTTTGGCATACCTTAGAAAAAATGGATGTATGTGTGTGTGTGTGTGTGTGTGTGCGTGTGTGTGTATGTATGGGCAGTATATAATATATAACGCACACACACATTCATCCAGTTTTTCTAAGGTATGCCAAATTGTTCAGAAACCTTTGAAACGTATAGATATGCAAAAATTTTCAATTTCGATTTTTGAACAGTTTGTTACTACCAACTCATACGAAAATAGACCCGCAACATAGTGTTACCGATACATTTCTATTTTTTCGAGAATTGGCTCCTAAAATTTGTAGAAATCATAATTTTGGTAGTATAAGCATTTTCCGAGGAAATTTTACAAATCGAGTATTAAATAAAATTAATCATTTACTTAAAAGTACATTTATTCAGATTTTATATAACAATTTTAATACAGATTATTTTTAACAACCGCATTTGTATTTTACATGTTGACATTAATCCATATCACCGTAATATAAAATGATATAGAAAAGTCATGTATGTTTTTTTAACAAAAAACAATATTCACATAATTGTGAGTTTACAATTCGTAATATTGTGTAAATGTCAAATATTATCACAGTAAAATTTTTCTTTGCACCAATTAAGCGGTTGTGATAGATAAAAAATAGTTTAATTTACAACATTAACTCTAATTTAATGGTCTTGTTACACTAAACATTTTTGAGAAATAAATATTGTAATAAAAAATATATTTAAAATAGTTTCATAGTACTGGTAAATATAGTACATTTAAAACTAAAATTAATTAATTGAAAATATCATATTTTAATTTAATCTAAAATATAATATCTTAGATTATTAGGAAAATCAACATATTTTTACCATCAAAAAAGTTTAGCATAACGAGACGATAAGTTTTTATATATAGCCGAGCAAATCTTATTATTTTCAAGTCTTTTTATATAACCTTCTTATTAGAAAATACTACCATTTTTAATATAGAGTTGAATGTTTAACACATTAATTGCCATGTCATAAATAAATGTGTCTGACGCTACAAAATTTGGCGATTTGGTAAAAGAAGAAAAAGCTTCAATTATGGGCCATGTCAGTCATAAAAAGTGTTTTTCCAAGAATTTTGGCAAAATAATATTTTCTTTGATGCAATAAGTTTTCTTGATACACTTGAAACTAAATCATGTAATAAAGTTACTATGGTCCATGTGATTTTTCTTTTTCTGATTTTTCTTTCCAATTTTAGTCATGTTTCCTCTCGGCTGTATGTAAAATTAAAAAAACTCATCTAATACTTTCTTCATTACAGACTCTAAACCGCAAATTCGCATTTCTATAAACTTCATCCCAAAGCATCATGCGTTTTAGTTCCAAAATATTTTTCATTTCAAAATGTTCTTTTCCCATGTCCAAATATTTTGGTTCTTCGTCGTTGTATGGTTCCCAAAAAATGTCGTTTAAATGTCTTTTTGTATCACATGATGCATCTTCAGTGTTTGATGTAGGTTTTCTGAAAAAAAATTAAACAGTTGTAATTTTTTATTATTGAACATATTGTTTTTTATTAGATAATAATTTTTACAATCATTTGAAAAAGATGATAAGTGAAACTTTATGAATAAAAATGGAGGCTTCAAAATACAAAATCATCCTGCCATTTTGAAAATACAATTTACAAGACTAAAATAGTGTGCATTGGTATATCTTTATTCTAATTGATTTTGAACATTAAATTTGATAAACTTAAAAGAAGTGAAAACAAATCGATCTTGCAAAGAAAAATGTGATGTAATTTAATAATTTAATAATTAACAGTATAATAAATTTTTAGCCCTTTATCCTATTATTATTTGTACTTATACATAATTTTTAGGAATCAAAAAAGGCTTTAAAAATACAAAATTATTTGACCGTCTAAATTAATTTTTGAAAATTTAATCGATAATAAAAAAATCTAGTATCTCGTATTATGTTTTTCGTTTGTATGCCAGTTTAGTTGTATGCCATTATTTAGTTATTTTTTGAATTTTACATACTCAATTTATCTCTATATTCAAAAATTGATAAATTTAGAAGCAATGATAATAAATCAATCTTGCAATAGAAATATAATAAAATTTTATCACTGAATAATTAGCGTCATATTTATTTATTTATTAGAAATCTATAATCAATAATAATGAATTTTATGGTTAAAAATGTTCAATTTCGGTTTTTTGACGATTACAATAACTTACCCTAAAGTTAAAAAGTGTTCACAATATGTAAATTTTTAATTTATTTTTTTAAAACAATAACCTTTCTGTGTTAGTAGCACAAATACAATAAGTAAATAAAAAGTGAGATGAGTTAACTTTGACGAAACATTGTTGTTGATAATTTTTTAAATATTTTTTCTATTTTGCTTAAAAAATAACTCTAGTCTTAATGGCTTGTTTGTCTTGTTAAACATTATTTTGAATTTTTTTTAACTATTTATAATGTTGATATTTAAATATCTTGTTTGAGCCAGTGGATACTAAATTTGGCACTGAGTCAGCATTAACATAAATGTGTAAATTATAAGATTTCTTTAAGTAAATAAGATATTCTATTGTCAAAAACATAATATACGAGTAAATTGTTAAAAAAAACTAGTTTCACAATAGCGAATATATTTAATGTTGCTAATGAAGACGACGTTTTTAAACATATTTATTTTTAAGAAAAATAGGAAATTTTTCAAAATGTTCTAAAATAATTTGGAAACTTTTCTTAAAATAACATATGGTAGATCATTTTCGAAAAACATGCTAAATTAATGAAAATAGTAAATTGTACGTATTTATTCTCGAAATCGTATTCGATGTAAAAAACTTATATTGCAATAGTAGTCAATTCCTCCAGTCAATTCTCAACAGAAAATCTCAAAAGTTTTCATCTTTTCCAAGTGACATATCTTTAAAACGGTGGCTCTGAGAAGAAAAAGTATTGATGCGTTTTTTTATATAATTTTATGCTCTACAATTTTGTCTGAAGGTAATTTTGCGATAAAACTGACCATTTAGTTGAAAATCGTGAAAAATCCATTTTTTTATCTTTGACCTTGGGCCAATTTTTTACCTCGCACTGGAACGATGAGGACTTTTGGGATTCCTATTATAATAATATAAAAGTTGCAGTCCATAATGAATTATTGTTACCATCACCCTGATTTTAGGTCTAAATTGACCGGGTTATAGCTTGTGCTTGTATTGTTTTAAAATTTACCATCAATGACTAAGGGGCAAATTCTCCGATAAAATTAAAAAGTTATAGTAACCCTATGTTACGGGTCAATCTTTGTATGAATTGGTAGTAACAAACTGTCAAAAAGCTATGTATTTGCTGTTTGGTGAGGCGTTTTACACATAAAACCTAACTTCACGTATATGTTATCAATGAGACATCAGAAAGATGCACTTATGATAAAAATGATATTGAAGTTTGTAAGTTTTGCAGGCTAGATTTTATGTGTGGAACGCTTAATTGCACAGTAATTATATTTCTTCGTGACAATTTGTTACTACGAAGAAAGACCCGTGCCATAGGGTCACCATAACATTTCTATTTTATTGAAGAATTGGCTCCTAAGTTGTTGTAGCATTTAATATGTGGTCGATAATGCAAAATTACTCTTATTACTATATATACTATCCACTTACCCATTCTTTACAAAATTGGTCCAGATCCTGACCATCCTTTCCAGAGTCTGCATAGCATCTTGCGGTATAGAAATGTGCGTTGTTCCCAAAATAGGAACATCCAAAGAGTTTGCAAAAAGATATCCTAAATCATCACCATGACTAACTCCTGGCAAGGAACCCCATCGATAGGGCAAGATATAACTTTTATATACACTATACGTATCATCTGATAACCTGTACAAATACAAATTGGAATTCCTGCTGAATTCATTGAAAAATATGGCTTTCAAGGTACGGTAGATTCCTTGGAGATAACCAGCATCGCCTTTAAGTTGGACGTAAGCTTCGATATCATCGTTTTGTTCTTTGACTTGGTCATAAAATTCTGTAAGCATTTTTATAAATTTTTTCTCCTCAATGCCATTGGGATTTTTCCAAATATTAGCATCTCTATGTATAGCCCTTTCTATATTTGTCAAAGTCTTGTGAACTTCCATGTTTCCTCTGGTTACTCTTGCCATAGATCTTAAACCTTCAGCACTATTGAACCCCATGATGACATCGACATCAGGAAATTCACCATTTCTCATTCTTTCCAAAGCAGATGGAAATGTTATTGGATCTGGAGATTCTGGTGATTCTAAGACTGGATTAAATACTGGTACTGTGTCTCGATCATGGTCGTTGGTATCAGGAACTCTGTTTAAGGCTGCTCGTAAAATTAGGTTTTTATCCAGGTTTAGGAGTTCTTGTTTTTGCGTGATGTTTAGCACTTGTTTGAGTTTTTCAAATCTCTGCAAGAAAGATAATAATAATTATATAGAGTGGAAAAAACATGAATACAATGTCAAGGTAATAATTATTAAATGAAGTTGAAACATTATTCAAATTTAAATGTAGATAAAAAAAACATTTTGTATGTACCTATTAAAGTAGTAATAATGTTATCAAATTTAATTATTTGATCAAGTTATTCTAATTTGTCTAAAAGTATTTAATACTTCCAAACAAATTTAACGACTTACTTTAATTATGGCTTTTTTTAGTTAACAAGGTCAAAATATATATTTTTTATTTTGCGTGACCTAAAAGACGTAAACACTTACAATATTTAAAAAAGACTAAATTTTGGATACTAGATTTACTAATTGATAAAAATAATTTAGTTTGATTTTTAAATACTAATTACCACTTGTTGTTAAAAATGTTTTGAAGTAATAATAAATGATAAATTTATGACTTCATTTAAAAAGACGTAAACACTTCCAATATTTAAATAAGCCAATCTTTTATAAATTGTCGATATTAGAAACAACAATTGATAAAATATAAGCTTGAATTTTAAATACTAATTACCACTTGTTTTTAAAAATATTTTGAAGTAATTCCAATATTTAAATAAGTAAATTCATATAAATGTTGGATAATGGATATAATTGATAAAATAGTAATGCTTGAATTCGAAATACTAATTACCATTTGTTTTTAAAAATATTTTGCAGTGATAATAAATGACAAATTATTTTCAAATGTATTATATTTACATGCAGAGGTTGAATTTGATTAGCAGTCGGATTTAGTAATGTCCCACTCTGCAAAATGGCCCTTTGGTAGTATTTTCTAGTCGAGTTGTCCATCATCAGAAAATGGACACTTGCTGCTCCAGCAGATTCTCCAGCAATTGTAATTTTTTCTCTGTCTCCACCAAACTTTTCGATGTTGTCGTAAACCCATTTAAGTGCCAGTCTCTAAGAAAATAAAAAAATCGTGATTTATCCTTGCTTTTCTCTCATATGTCAATTACTATTACCTGATCTTTTAGACCCATATTTCCATGAATATCCCATTCCGGTGCAGATAGAAAGCCGAAAACTCCCAGTCGATAGTTGATAGTCACCAAAATAATTCCTTCCCTGATTAAATAATCAGGTCCAAAAAAATTATAAGATCCTGATCCTTGGTTGAATGCGCCTCCATGGATCCAGAACATTACAGGATATTTAGTATTGTTCGCAGAATTAACAGTCTCTGGTGTAAATATATTCAGATATAAGCAATCTTCGCTTCCTGAAAAATGTAATAAATCATATTTATTTTAATGGTTTATATTAGAAATTATAATTTTGGTTCTGGCGTGACGTAATTTGGTTTTTGATAAATTCAATTCCGTTCAACTAACTTTTGTCCTTACACGTTTTTGCATTTGCAACAAAAAGTAGTAGAAGTAGTTAAAATATCTTAATTTTTGGCTGCTAAAATTTTACGATTTTCTAATTTATTATCAATTGCGTTAGACAATATAGATTAACTTGCAATGTCTCGAAAAAATTAAATTAGCAAGTTGGATTTTCTGGCGAAATAGTACTTTTGTTTTTCGGGAAGTTAACTAATACGTAAGTAATATCTAATATCAATTTATTAATTTTTTTTATTATATTTTTTACAAATATACGGAATTTCCAAACATGTTTTAAACTAATAAGGAAATACCAAAGGCAATAAAGCACGATATTATAATTGGGTGTAGAAGTAATTAATTATTATTCATATGTTTACAAGCAATAATATATAAGACAATAACACAAATATATTCGTATGTATATATATA